TGTGATTGGTTAGGAGCCGATTCTCTTACTGTACAGTTATTTTTCAAGTGCTGGTTATTATGAATTGAATCAATAACCTAAAAAATATTTGTTTTTGTAGTTCCTGGGCAGCCTTATGTGGATACAGAGATTTCTCCTGCACCTGTTCCTGCTCCTGCACCAACATTCAGTGTAGTTTCAGGTACTAATATCAAAAATTTCACTTGGATTGTGACCTTATTCTCAAAATAGCATCATCATGCTACACTGCTCTATCTCCTCTCCATAAATCATTTGATCAGATAATCATTCTAGAAAATTTCCTTATGCATGGGTTATTGGGAGCATGGGAATTGCTCTTATTCTGATCGCTGTCACATTTGTTTCATGCATTACATGCAAATCCTGTTTTTCCCACAAGTCAAGGACTCAATCAAAAGATCATGAACAATCGAGCTCACATAAATTTCACATTCTCAAGAGCAGTAGTTTCTGCTACACATCAAGAAGGTTCTTTTGCTGCAAATCTGGAAATTTGAAGCCTTCGGCTACAGATGTTGGCAATCACCATATCGATATCCCTAGAGGTCGGTTAACTCTCAATCTCTTATTTTCATTATAGCACTGGATGCCCAATAATTTGTTTCTGAAATTGTACCATATATCATTACTTTTTTTTTGCTCAATCCTTATCAATATTGATGCGCTGATCCTTTATATACTAGCAATTTGTTTATCCTTCTTTTGAGTTTGGGCTTGAAGGGATAACATCTGGTCCAGGCATGTATGACATGTTAAGTTCTTATATCATTTTCTTCACCCATTGGAAACAGTATTACCAATTCAGTGTCAATTTAGTGTTTATACAATGTGGTTAGTTCTCAGCCAAAACTTAAGGCAGTGATTCAAAGTGAAATCGGGCGATTTGGTTGGAGAATTGATCCCATTTTGTTGGATGTTGGTGATTTATCCGTAGTTGACTTGCACAAATGCTTGGTTGAAGAGCCATAGCGGTGGGATCACTGAAAATAGGGTGAAAAACCAAATCTTAACCCTTCACGCGGGGCCACTGAACCCTCTTTTGAGCTACTTTTTTTTGCTTTTCAATTTTGAATTTACGTGGTGTTCTGTTAACACCGCATAAATGTAGCACCGCGTAAACTTTTCGGATCTCTGCCTGATCAACACTTAGCCGATTGAACATGACTTTTTTCTTGTTTGCAGTCAGTCTTCCCAATGTTTGTTCTCTTAGCATTGAAATCATGCAAATATTGTTTACAGTTCATATATAGATTTTGCTTGACAAAAGTTCTAACTTTTTATCTGGATTGTGGACATTGTTTGGTATAAATTCATAACTGTTCCATATTTTGATCCTTGGCCTTAGGTCTTAACATTTCTTTCAACCTTCCAGAAAAGTTTGAACGTTGTCTGCGTGGGAAAGTATCCCACGGACCCGGTCCATGGCATTAAATGTACGCCAAGGGGATATCAATTGTTGGATCATCAGACTTACTCTGAGGTTTGTGTATGGATTCGAGGGTTGGTGTCTATTTGGTGCGCATTTAGTGCCATGGACCAGGCGCATGGGATACTTTCTCATCTGCGTGATGTCTGCTAACTAGCAATAACTACTACTATGGTGTTGGAGAAAGGTTGTATGTGAAATAAAAATTTAGTATTCATTGATCTTTCATCATTAATAATAATTTTTTAACTGCACACACTTTATTCCCGTAGAGGTCAGCCCCAAGAAGCCTTTAATTGGTCTGCCTATTCTTTTCAAGGTTTACTTCACCTCAAACTAACTTCTTTCTGCAGCTGTGGTGGGGGATGCGTTTGACATGGAGAAGCCTGTTGTTTTCACTCATGCAGAAATTCTTTCTTCAACTGATTACTTCTCTGATTCAAATCTACTCGGTCATGGAACTTATGGTTCTGTTTACTACGGAGTTCTTGGGGAACAGGTTTGTATCTTCAGTTTTTTCATTATAGATCTGAAGTTTTTTAACAGCTGGAAAGTTTCCTTATTATACAAGATAACCATGCATCTTTAGGAGGTCGCCATAAAAAGAATGACGGCTACCAAAACGAGGGAATTTATCGCGGAAATGAAAGTCCTGTGCAAGGTTCATCATGCTAGTCTGGTATAACACCTAATACAATCAAAATGATTATGATTGTCTCAGCTTATCATGGTTGGTTCAAATCTTAACCTTCTTTAAATTCCTTTGTCAAGGTAGAGTTGATTGGCTATGCAGCAAGTGGCGATGAGCTCTTCCTCATTTATGAATATGCTCAAAAAGGTTCACTTAAGAGTCATCTACATGATCCACAGAACAAGGGTTAGATCTCCATTTTACAAACTAAACTACGTTACATTGCAAAATTCTATTTTCTTGTTTAAGTGCAGTTAGCCTTCTACTTGTAATTTGGACACAGACTCCTCCTGTAGAGTATAATGATGAGATAAGTCACAATAGAGGTATTGTGCAGAAACATATTTACTCCACACTCCATTCTTCTGACTTTTCCTTTTCATGGTTTAGTATTTAGAAGCATGCCCAGACACAAAATTTAGGGGTATCTCAGTGTCTGCCTTTTGGTCATCAGTATGACAGCAGCTCAAGTGCTCAACTAAAGAGTCAGCTGATCTCCCTGTAACACCATGAGCTTTTTAGAAAACCTTTACATTTTAAATCTCGCTAACAATCAATCTGGGATCACCGATGTGCAAATCTTTGCTCAGAAATTTGAATCAAAATATAACAGTTCCTTGCACATCGATCTATAAGTCAGGCTACCGGATAGCTTTTTGATGCAGATACATCCATCCGCTTCTGTTTATGTGTAAAGTTTTATTCCCTCTATGGCTCTACTTTTCACCAAGGGTTCCAATTTAGACTTGCATGCCTTAGAATTGAGCCAGGAACAATAAATTGCTGCCAATATATACTGCTTATGTAGCACGTCAAAACATCAGGACAGAAAGAAATATATTAAAACCACTGTTATAAATAGTGCCGCTAATAGCGTTAGCAGTCCCTTCCCGCTACGCTATCACCTAATAGCGATGACATATTGTGGAATATGTGCTTTTCACTCGCAAAAGCGGCTTATAGCGGTGAATAGCGGTGGTTGCGGGCAAAATCCGCTTTCTGACCGCTATTTAAAAACGGTTTGAGGGTTATTTTTTAAAAATTAAATCCGACCCGCAACCACTACATCCCACTGCCCCTCGTGATTTCTGGCATATTCCCGCCCGACACCTCCTTCAACACTTCATCTCACCTCCTCTAGTTATTAGCACTTCTACTGCAGTCCTCTCACCGCTCAGCTCATCTTCTCGAAGACGACGACTCTTTGACTCCTCCAGTCGTTTTTCGTATTATGTGACGGTACATGTTTATTTCATGTTTAAGATCTCTTTAAGTCATCAAATATGTACTTTTAGATTTTCTAGATTTTTTTAATTTTTCTTATTTTGTATATATATAAATTAGACCGCTATTTGACTTTGCGCTCTTTAACGCTATTTTGCCGCAATAGCCCCAAAAAGCCTTAGCAATGTCTCACCGCTACGCGACGCTATCCGTTATTGATAACCTTGATTAAAACCTAGCAGGCTGGGCAGCATATGAGCTACTAAAGGCAACAAATGAACTGCTTTCTACTTCTTTTCTGAGCTGCATCCAAGAAAATTAAATACAGAAACACGAAAATGGGGAACCACAGCTGCATGGTGCTTTCCCTAATCCCTGTAATAGTCTCAACTCATGACGAAGTTACTCAGGGGCAATTCAGTAGTTAAAAAGCTTTCAGTTGTAGATTATTTAATGTTTTATGGAAATTTCTGTCTGGTAGAGATGTGATGTAGATCACTCTGTAAGAGCGATATAATTATATAACATAGTGTAAACGGTCTCAATTTGCGAGTGCAATTCCCAAATAATGCTTCAGTATATACTAATTTCTTCCTTGTCCAGGTCATACTTCACTATCTTGGATCTCTAGAGTTCAAATTGCTCTTGATGCTGCTAGAGGACTGGAGTACATTCATGAGCACACCAAGGATCATTATGTCCATCGAGACATAAAAACAAGCAACATATTACTTGATAATACTTTCAGAGCAAAGGTATTTGTCAATTTGGAGCAACTGTCATTATGCTTTATAGCAAATAAAGATTTCTTTAGTAAATCTTTCTTTATCTAGATATCCGATTTTGGGCTTGCAAAGCTTGTTGTGACGACCATTGATGGAGAAGCTTCTGTTACAAAAGTTGTGGGCACTTTTGGTTATTTGGCTCCAGAGTATGTTAATGCTAAAAATTTAGGTTCTGCCATATTTTTATTTTCCTGGAGTAGGCTTCCTTTACCTAAATGTCTTATTGATTCTATTAGATACTTGCGTGATGGGCTGGCTACAACAAAAAGTGATGTTTATGCATTTGGGGTCGTCCTCTTTGAATTAATATCAGGGAAAGAAGCTATAACAAGGACAGAAGGGATGGTTTTCACCAATTCTGAGAGATGTTCTTTAGCATCAATTGTAAGTAAAGTTTTCCAGATTCATAAGAAGTATCAATTAGCAGTTTACAGCATGTATATGCAAATTTCATTTGGGAAAATTACATTTGGATATAAGAAATAGGTCTCATGTTGGGTTTTAGATCTGTGGTCATCATCGTTGCAAGTTTCATTTGGGAAAATTACATTTGGATATCATACACCTGCCTCTGACAAAAGTGGTTTACACAAACATGTTGCTTCTTGAATTAGTAAATGACGGTTGAGGTAGGGGATGCCTATGATGAGAGAGTACGGGAAAGTCTGCTTTGTGCTGCATCAAAGGAATTTAGTCGTTTATGTTAAACAGTATAACTATAGGTTATGGGATAATGCTTTGCAGAGATTCCAGATACCGAGGATAATGCTGCTTGTTTAAACGAAATACTCATCATCTGCGCACATAAATCATGGAAGATGATATTCTAGGTTATCCATAAGGTTAAGTCTATAAAATTGACCCTTTCTGTCTTTATCTGTTACTTGCCTAATATTAGCCATCCACAGTTCTATAAATGTAAATATTTTTTTACTAGAAAAGAACACAAATGAAATTGTATGGGAAGTTTTAAAGATGGTCATACAACATCTCATGTTTTATTTGCAAGCAATTAAGAAATGAAATATCCTGGAAAATGATTCTTTTAACCAACCAGAAGATTTGGGATATTGTTCTTGGTGCTTCTTCTCCACAAAAAAGTTGCTTTTTATTTCCCGGATAGGCAGTTTGCTAAGCAAAACATGGAAATAAAAACCTTTTCTGGACACTGGGGAAGGACTTTGTTGTTGTCCATAGTTTTAGCAGTTGTTGTCTCACCTTTATTTGACTTGAGGGTTGTCTTGGGACCATTCCAAAGGGTTGCAAACAAATTAGCAAATTGTTGAGTCTGAGCCTTATGTTTCTTCTCAGTTGTCACCAATGCTTTTGCTTGTCAGGGTATCTCAAAAGGTAATATTAGGTGTAAAAGTCACAAGATTCACGTTGCATTATCACTTATTTAATGGGCAAGCTAGAGCTTCTATGTTTGCAAGATAATATAATGCAAGCTGAATTGTTTTGGACGGTATCAATTAATCACAAAGAATTGAAATCCTTTTTTTGTGTAAGAGAGGGTTGTGATTAGCGTTATAGCGTAAGTGTATCAGGAATTCAAGCCTAATGCGTGGTCTACAGCAGCAGCAGCAACAGCAACAACAACACCTCTATCCCAAGTGTTTGGGGTCGGCTACATGAATCTTATTCTTTCATTCCCTTCTACTATGGGTCATCTACTCTGTTAAGCTAACCATAACCATATCCTTCTTAATTACTTCTAACCAAGTCCTTCTAGGTTATACCTAATACGTGTTGCCTAATTATACTAATATACTCGAAATTTCTTGGGGTAATCAATGATTCAATATGCGCTCATATCAAAAAGTCAATTTTTTTGATTTGTGATGTAATTATATTAATACATTTCCCTGTGAGCTGTGTTCTACTTCTGGTGTTTGTATTTACAGGCTTATCCAATTTGAAGCAGCTCTAATCACTCTACTTTGAAAATTCAGATGCTAGGAGCTCTCAGGAGCTCACCAAATTCATTGAGCATGGCTAGCCTGAAAGAACATATTGATCCTAGCTTGATGGATCTGTATCCTCATGACTGCATATACAAGGTAAATTTTTTGTTGATCTCATAGTTATTTAGCGTAAGTCGAGTAATATTTGTTGGCGTGTCAGATATGAGATAATCTGATGCATAAACTACAACTGGAAGGAGGAGGAGTGGGGGGTTGGGTGGGGGGTGGGCGGGGTGGGGGGGGGGTAAAGGATCTCTGGTGTAACAGTGATTCAACTCATATTGGTTGTTATTGACATGTATTCATACGGATGAGAGACTAACCAAAACCAAGCTTTGCCAACAACTGTATATTCAATTTGTGCTCTAAAATACTATGATCAAATTATTCTTGTATGAAACTGTCTTATTCTTGAGCTATGAAAGAAGAACCCTCTCACCCAAGATGTAGAGATGTACATGAGTTTTCTAAATCCTTGTCAAGTACAAGAAATAGCCAATAAGCAAGTATAGGTCAATTTGAAGTTTTAAAGTTTTTCCCCAGGCTAACCGTTTGATATGTTTCATCTCATGTGGAAAGTAGGCCTCATATTAGATTTGAAGCAGTTGCCCATGTGTCTTTTCTTGATATATAAAAATTACTGAGTGCAATGACTACTAAGCTTCTCTATATGGTTGGTCTTATGGCTGAACTTAGTGTATTTCTTCTTTGTGAATTAAAGATGGCTATGCTAGCAAAGCAATGCGTGGATGAAGATCCTATTTTAAGGCCAGACATGAAGCAAGTAGTTATTTCTCTCTCGCACATTTTGTTGTCCTCTGTTGAGTGGGAAGCAGCGTTGGCAGGAAATAGTCAAGTTTTCAGCGGTCTTGTTCAAGGGAGGTGATTTTTCAAATGCATCTCCATCGCTTACAATATAATCCTCTGTATCAATATATTGTGTATCCTTTGTCCCTTTTTTCTCCTTGATGGCAGAGTAGTCAAGGAAATTCTTTTTGATCTTTATTCTTTAAATCTTGTAACCTATCGAGGTAATATGTTAGCTGTATTAACAATGTTATATGTAATAGTGTTGTGCAGAAAGCTTGTGGTTCTTTCTCCCTTAAAATCAAGGAATTGATGTTTGCTTTTCATTCATTTGAACAGGTTCTCCATTTGTTCTCCTCATTTTTTCATCATGCAACTTTGCTTTAGATTGATTTTTGCCTGTGAAAACAGTTTTCTACTAAGGCTTATCGAATACGCGTCACTGAAGCTCTGACTAAAGCAGGTGTAAAATTTGTGTATAGATTATTGATGAGTATCAGTTGGAAAGACTAGATCACTTTGTAAATGCAGCGCAAATTTCGGAGCATCAGGATGGTGTATGTGCGTGATAGAGACCTTGTGCAATTTGGAAACCAACTACTGCACTGAGCATCTTCTGCTTTATCTAAGCATCCTAACTTTTGATAGAATATAGGAGCAGTTTACAACGTGAAACATCTCCAAGCTACTCTCCATATGATCAAGCTACTCAGTGAAAACAATAATATGTTCTTCAGTAGATGGACATAATCCTGCACCTATTTACTTAAAACCACACTTGCTAATGAAGCATGGAATAAAGCAACCAACCAGAAGAAAAAGAAAGCATGGCTATCAACAAGGAATTATTCCAAAGCTCGCACTCCATTCTTTACACTTCAAAGATGCTATTTTGAGATCAGATTAATATCTCAAAGTTATATAGATCATCCATCATGCATAATACTAAGAACAAAAACAACAATGGGCTGTGGAAATTCAAGAAGCTCATCACCTAAAAGTCCGTACCTGCGGAAAGAAGACATCCTCTTAAGAATCCCCGGTGCCGTTGTTCATCTCACCAGAGATGGAGAAGCCATCGAACTTGCAAGAGGAGAATTCACAATCCTTAAAATCACCGATGAAGATGTTTCATTAGCAACTGTTGTCAAAGTTGGCCCTCATCTTCAATGGCCTCTAACGATAGATGAACCAGTCATCAAGATAGACAAATTTCACTATCTTTTTACTCTTCAGGATCAAGATGGTGGATTTTTGAACTATGGAGTCACTTTCGATGCAGCTAATGGTAGTCTCTTGGATTCTCTTGATTTGTTTCTTAAGGAGCATGCTTGTTTCTCGAAGCAAGATGGTTCTAAATCAAAGGGAGATGGTTCAGGTCACGAGGTTTATTGGAGGGATTATGCGCCAAAGATTGATGAGTATAATGGAGTGTTGGCGAAAGCGATTGCTCGAGGGACTGGCGAGATTGTTAAGGGGATTTTTACTTGTAGTAATGCCTACAGCAACCAGGTATGTGGTTCTGTGAGTAAAGTTGATCAATGGATATCCATTAAGTCCATATCATGCATGCACCATATGTTTAGACATATATATCAAATTTCATAAAAACAGTAATATGCAAGAATTTTTTGGTAAATGATTTGATAAATCACATAGAGCCTAGGATTTTTTTGGAAGAACAGAAGATTGAAGAAAACAGATGGAATAGCTACATATAACTGCTACTCTGAGTCGTACCCATTTCCAGTAAGATGCATCTTAATTGTTCTTAGCTACACACACACACACAGAATATAGTTGATTCTAGTGAAATGAACCAAATATGTCTAATGAATTTATAGCCCCACGCACTTGAACTGAGAACTATATTACGCTCTAAACAAAGACATATAAACATATATGAGGGACAAAAAATATTCTTCTGAAAACTCACTAAGCAGTCAATATCCCCACACATAACTGATTTCATTCAAGTTATCAAGCGGTCATATGGATATCACTGCAAGTTATAATAATGATCATCCAACAATGAAACTGAGCGTTCATGCACAACTTCAAACTCAACTTTTCAGTTTAATTTCACGCTTTAGATGTATTTACTGTAAAATCTCCCTTCTGTGAGTATGCACAACTGAGAAATGCTAGGTGGTCCAGGTCCAAAAGGGAGCAAATCTAATTCAGCCAACGGCTGCAGGCAATAATGCTAACATGTCTGACCGCAACAACAACATAAATGGACCAAACAAGACGCATGGAGGAATTAATCAGAGTCTTCAAAGGTAAAATAAAATAAAATAAAATAATTTTTGTTTACTTATTTGGATGGAGAATGCTTAGAAGATTACAAGGGATTCGATAAATATAATACTTTGTCTTTGGCAGGGTGAGAAAGTTATCAGAAATGACAGAGAGAATGAGCCAATCTTTGCTCGATGGAGTTCTTACAGTTACAGGATCAGTAACAGCACCAATAATTCGGTCAAGAGCAGGGAAAGCTTTCTTTTCTATGGTCCCTGGAGAAGTTCTTTTGGCCTCTCTTGCTGCTGTTGGTAAGCATATACATATCATTAAAAGGAATACTTATAAGATAAAACGGTGGTCAATTGAACTCTGACATCAAAGAGAAAAAGAAATTTATATCGCCAATTTATCAATGTATCGAACCTAAATTACAGAACTTAGATTCTGGTAACCACATGCTAAGTGCAAAGCGCGTCATCAAAGCTCTCTGGGCTACGTCTGTTGTATAAATAAAATATATGTTATATGATATGTAAGTTTGAAACTCCTACAGATTTTTGTAAAACATTTAGTAAATGAATAATTTCTAACACTTGCTAAGTTTTACCAGGTACTGTTCTAGATGCAGTAGAAGTTGCCGAAAGAAAAGCTCTCGCCGCCACTTCTGGTGCAGTCTCAGGGGTAGTGTCTAAGAGGTACGACAACCATATTTCAGAATTTTCAGTTAAAACAAAAATGAAAGTAATTCATTCTCTTGGAATAAAAAGAAGTATACGTATTTTAATATTTAAAAAGTAAATGCTTATTGAATTTTGTGGTTTACAGGTTTGGAGAAAATGCAGGAGTGGCAACTGAAGATGCATTTGCAACAGCAGGACATGCCATTGGAACAGCTTGGAATTTACTCAAGATCAGAAAGGCAATTACCCCCTCTTCCTCTGTGTCGTCCGCGATAGTGAAGAATGCTGTGAAGCGAAGAACTTGATTATGCATATACCAGAACTCACATACATATTGACATTGAAGCGAATATGATGCAGTGTTTTTAAGTTAAAAAGGGAAGAAAATTTTATATTGTTGGTTTCATTGATTCTACGCCAATTGCTTGTTATCCATATTGTGTGAGACTCATATGTTGAGAAATCCAGGGGCTACGCTAAACCCCTAAAACAACAAGAAGCACAGTATAGAGAAAAGTACAACAAGAATTACGAGGTTCGGCAAACTTGTCTACGTCCTCGGGAGCCACACAATTAATTTCTTATTAATCAAAGAAAGCAAACTTGTCTACGTCCTCGGGAGCCACACAATTAATTTCTTATTAATCAAAGAAATTACAATGCAAGAGCAGATCTCATTTCTTATTAATCAAAGAAATTACAATGCAAGAGCAGATCTCAAACTTGAGATCTCTCAATAAATGCAATACCAACATTGTAGCTACAATGTTAATTCCCTCTCTTAAATCCTCTTTTTAATTCTCCCCTCAAAATCTCGGCTGAGAGCTGGAGAAAAAAAACGTCGCCGCCTCTGGATCTGAGAAACTCATGAGAAAAGAAAGGAGAAAGAAGCACAGGAGATCTCAAGTCTGGGTTCCCTTTTATAGGGGAACCCTAACGATAGGCTGTCGCCAGGCTGTCGCCAGCCATGCAGCCATGCTTGCGCAGGAGCTCGCCCGCGTTCGAGGAGCTTGCCTGCCTGGTCCTCGCCCACGCTCGCCTGTGTGGATCTCGAGCTCGCCTGGAGCGCCCACCTCGCCTGCAACTTCAACCTCGCATGTGCCTCAACCAGAACCTCACCTGAAGCCCTCGAGCTCGCCTAAATCTCGTCGAACTCGCCTGCGTCACCCCAAGCTCGCCTGTAATGGACTCGAGCTCGCTTGAAGCTGCGTCGACTTCGAGCTCGCCTGCGGAGGTTTGGATCCACACTCAAATCCAATAATCTCCTACTTGGAGACCAAACCGCCAACAACAGGCTATCTCAACAAGCACTTTCTCTTGTGTGGCTCTGCCCCCATCACCTATGCATGAAGGTCAACTGAAGTTGCGCACAACTCCAGTTTCTGAATGATCACCGCCTTTGTTAACATTTCTACTGAATTCTTATTTTTTGGAATCTTTTCCAGTTTTAACACGTCATCTTCCAATAGGGATCTGATGAAATGGTACCGAAGCCCAATGTTCTTCGTTCTAGAATAAAATACTAAATTTTTAGCTAAGTATAAATCGCACTCTGACTATCACTGTACAAAACATTCTTCTCCTGTTTGAATTCCAGCTCTGTTAACAAATCCTGAATCCATATCATCTTTTTGTTGGCTTCAGTCTTTGCTACATACTCAGCTTCTATAGTGGATAAAGTGATAATCTTCTGTATTTGTGACATCCAACTAACAGCTGTAGTTCCAACAGTGAATACATAGCTGGTGGTGCTTCTTCGATGATCAACTTCACATCCAAAGTCTGCATCTACGTACCTTTGTACTTCCACCTTCCCTTACTAAAGAATAAACATTTCTGTGTGGTGTTTCGTAGATACCTCAAAATCTACTTGACCGATTCCCAATAAGATTTTTCTAGATTCGACATGAACAGGCTGACCACTCCCACTGCATGGCCACTGTCTGGTATTGTACAGACCATTGCGTACATCAAACTTCTAATGACTGAGACGTAAGAGACCTTAGACATACTCTCTTTCTCTTCTTCCGTCTGAGGAGATTGATCCTTTGATAGGTAAAAATGGCTTGCCAATGGTGTGCTGACTGGCTTGACGTTGCCCATATTAAATCTCTGTAAAACACGGTTGATGTACTCTGTCTGAGATAACTGCAAGAGACCTCTCTTCTTATCTCTTGTGATTTGCATTCCAATGATCTTCTTTGCTGGACCCAAGTCTTTCATATCAAACTCCTTTGATAAGTGCTGCTTCAAACTCCTGATATCCTTCATATCTGTACCTGCAACCAACATATCATCAACATACAGCAGTAAGATAATATAACTGGACTAATATCTTTTGAAGTAGCAACAGTGGTCGGCGTTGTAGTTCTGAAAACCTTCCTTGTGTATAAAGCCGTCAAACTTCCTGTACCACTATCTTGGTGTTTGTTTCAGGTCATATAAGCTCTTCTTGAGTCTGTACACCAGGTTCTTCTTCTTTTCTTCTGAGAAACCTTCTGGCTGGTGCATGAAGCTCTTCTTGAGTCTGTACACCAGGTTCTTCTTCTTTTCTTCTGAGAAACCTTCTGGCTGGTGCATGTATATCTCCTCTTCTAGATCACACCAGGTTCTTCTTCTTTTCTTCTGAGAAACCTTCTGGCTGGTGCATGTATATCTCCTCTTCTAGATATTCGTGAAGAAATATGGTCCTCACGTCTAATTGCTCGAGATGAAGATCTTCAATAGCTACAATACTCATCACTGTCCTGATAGTATTTAGCTTCACCACGAGAGCAAAAATATCGGTGTAGTCAATTTCTTCATTCTGCTGGAATTCTTTAACAACTAATCGGTTTTTATATCTTCTGGAACCATCCTGCTTCTTTTTTACCCGGTACACCCATTGGTTGTGGAGTGCCTTCTTACCTGTGGGTAACTCAACTAGTTCTCACGTCTGGTTTGAGATGAGAGACTTCATCTTATCTCTCATGACAAGCTCCTACTTACTCGCATCTCCACTCTGACAAGCTTCATCATAGCTTTTAAGCTCCCCTCCATCTGTCGACAACAGATAGTTCATGTACTTCCTATTTGACACATGAGATCGAGAAGATCTTCTTAATATCAGAGCTGGTGCGTCGGGCTCCTACGCACTGTTCTATCCAATAGGCTCTTCTGGCTGAGGACATGCTGTATTTGGTTCTTTCGAGAGGTCACCTAGGACATCATCTGTATCTACAAATGTTAACTCGCTCTCCTCTGAGTCAAAGACATCTATCTTGTACATGTTCTTATACATCACCTTCTCGTTGAATATCATATCTCTGCTGCGGATCACTTTTTGTTTTCATTGTCTCAAATGCAGTAACCGAACTCATCTTCACCATAGCCGATGAAAGTGTATTTCTTAGACTTAGGATCAAGCTTATTCCTGCCTTGATAACTAATATGCACATAAGCTACACAACCGAAAACTATGAGATGTGAGAGTTTTATCTCCTTTCCGCACCATACCTCCTCTAGTATTCTGTGCTCTAATGGAATTAATGGATATCGGTTGATCAAGTAAGCTGTTGTGTTGACTGCTTCTACCCAGAACTGCTTCGGTAGACCTAACTGTATACGGATGCTTCTGGCTCTCTCTGTTAACGTTCTGTTCATCCACTCAGCTACACCATTGTGCTGAGGCGTGTCGAGCATGGTTCTCTCCATTCTGATCTCATGCTTATAGCAGAACTTTTTGAATCTGGTGTCTTCATATTCACCACAATTGTCAGTTCTGAGCTTCTTTGTTCTCAGACCTGTCTCATTCTTTATCATGGTTTTCCTTCTCCTGAAAGCTTCAAACACTTCTGACTTATGTTTTAGAAAGTAGACCTACACTTTTTGAGAGTGATCATCAATAAAAGTCACGAAGTAGTGTTTCCCACTAATAGACGAGGTGGTAGTTGGTCCCCACACATCTGAGTGAACGAGCTCCAGTTTCTCCTTCTTTGGGGTTCTGTCACTTGTCTGAAAGCTAACTCTTTTCTGCTTTCCAAGTATGCAATCTTCACACGTGTCTATCTCCACTGATTCTAGACCTAAGAGTTTTTCCTTTGTGTGCATAATCTTCATCCTCTTCTTACTCATATGACTGAGTCTCTAGTGCCATAAATTTGAAGTCTCATTGCCTGCTGTAACTGAGATCAAACAGTGTGCACCTGCTATCATATATAAGGTACCCATCTTCTTATCTCGGGCAATCGTCATTACGCCCTTTGAGATCTTCCAATCATCTCCATGGAAGGTCGTAGTGTATCCTTCACCAACCAATTGGCCTACGGATATTAAGTTTTTTCTCAGGTCAGAAATATGTCTGGCGTCCTTCAGCTCCTATACTGACCCGTTCAATTTAATTTTTACTACACATTTGCTCATAATAGCACACAGTTGATCTTTACCAAGGTATACATATCCAAGATTTTCGGGGACATACTTTTCGAAGAATTCTTTCTGAGAAGTACCATGAAATGACGCTCCAGAGTCTAACACCCAAGACTCTTCCTGGCTCTCCAAGGAGCATATCAATGCGTCGTCTCCTTCTGAGGTGGAAGTAACATTCACCTCTGTCTTCGCCTCCTTCTCCTTCTGTGCACTCTTGCACTGATTCTTGTAGTGTCCGGTCTTTCAACAATTCTAACACTCGATAGTCTTCGAGTTGTTGCTTTGATTCATTGACTTGGACTTCCTGTCCTTTGATCTACCTCTGTAGTTTGATTTGCCTCGTCAGTTCCCTCTGGTTGAATTTCTACCTCTTGACTCTGTATGCAATACTGAAGGGGTTATAGCTTCATCCGACTCTCTCCGTCAGATCTCCTCACTGAGAACCATATCATGAATGTCATCGAACTTTAACTTGTTGCTTCCTGATGAGTTATTCACAGTCGTGACTATAGCATTCTAGCTCTCTGGTATGGAAGACAAAAGGATCAACAGTCGAACTTCCTCATCAAACTCAATTTCAACTGAACTCAATTGGGTTGTGATCGTGTTGAGTTCATTGAGGTGTTGTGCTACTAACGTGTCTTCCGCCATTCTCAGATTGAATAACCGCCTCATCAAATGAATTTTATTTGCGGCTGATGGCTTCTCATACATATTTGAGAGTGTTGTCATAAGACCCATCGTGGTCTTTTCCTTTGCTATGTTGAATGCAACATTACAAATTAGTGTCAATCAGAGTTATCGTCTTCCTTCATAGACTCTGGCTTTTTCCCTGAAAGGGGTTGATACAGATTCTTTTGGTATAGATAATCCTCTATCTGTATCTTCCAAAATCCAAAATATGTTTCATCAAACTTCTCTAATCTCACATTTACTTCATCTGCGGCCATCCACTTGAATCTGACTTCCTCTAGATCGTTTCAAGCTCTGATACCAGTTGTTAAGAAATACCGGGGCTACGCTAAACCCCTAAAACAGCAAGAAACGCAGTATAGAGAAAAATACATCAAGATTTACGAGGTTCGATAAACTTACTTACGTTCTCGGGAGCCACATAATTAATTTCTTATTAATTAAAAAAATTACAATGCAAGAGCATATCTTAAACTTGAGATCTCTCAATAAATTTAATACCAACACTATAGCTACAGTGTTAATTCCCTCTCTTAAATCCTCTTTTTAATTCTCCCCTCAAAATCTTGGCTGAGAGCTGGAGAAGAAAAAAACACTGCCGCTTCTGGATCTGAGAAACTCACGAGAGAAGAAAGGAGAAAGATGCACAAGAGATCACGGGTCCGGGTTCCCTTTTATAGGGGAACCCTAACGACAGATTGTCACCAGGCACGCTTGTGCAGGAGCTCGCCAGCGAGGAGTCCGCCCGAGTTCGAGGAGCTCGCCTGTCTGGTCCTCGCCCACGCTCGCTTGCGTGGATCTTGAGCTCGCCTGGAGCGCCGACCTCGCCTGTAACTTCAACCTCGCCTGCGTCTAACCTGGACCTCGCCTGAAGCCCTCGATCTCGTCTGAATCTCGCTCGATGCTCGCTTGACGTCAACCCAAGCTCGTCTGTAATGGCCTCGAGCTCACCTGCAACTGCGTCGCCTTCGAGCTCGCCTGCGGAGGTTTGGATCCACATCCAAATCCAACGATCCATAGTGGCTTTAGTCATATTCTCGAGGCATCGTCCAATTTTATGGAATACAATTTGGAGGGCAATGCAAACAATCTTATGTTAACAAAGAGATAATAATAATAATAATAATATTAATAATAAAGTTCATTATGTGTCCAAAAAAAAGTTCATTATGTGTTCAAAGATAGACGAGAAATTGCTTAAGCTAATGCCTTTTTCTAACACACTACATTTTATCAGTGAAAAGAGAGAGTGTTCCCCGGTCAAGGCCTGAAGCAATAAGTGAAAGAGTTAATAGCGGGAACAATTTGTGAGAAGAATTAGGGGTTTTGTTTATAAATCCAAAGTTTACGATGATGTATTGTTAAACCCATTCACTTCCAAATTCATTTTTAAACGCACTTTCTTTATTTCATCGCTTCATAGTTTGCTAAAGCTTGTCTACTTTGTTGTACTTACGTCTACGTTGCTATATTTTTGTAGGCGAGTTATATTTTAAAAATAGAAAAACAAATGAATGAATTTTTCTTATACATTCAAATGTATAAGAAAAAGTACAACGTTTATGGAAATCCCTCCAAACTTCAGAGGGTTGTGTGAAATTAGTGCTTAAAATAATTCGGAGTAAAACTTTCGGTCTTGGGGGGGAAAATACCCGAAAATTATTACCTTGATTTCCATTTTCGGCTTTCTGGTGGAAAGCCCAATATGACAGGCCTAGCCCAATTCAGAACCAAGGATGAGAACAAGTTCTAGAATGTCGACGGCTAGAATTTTTTTTAAATGAATATTTTATTCTTTGTCCGCTTACTAATTTTCTTCTTGCCCGTTTGTCCGCCCGAGTTTTGAAATTAGGATACCTCTCTGTTCTCTTCTCCTCTCTCTCAAATCACAAATATCCTAAGAAAAAAAAAGGAAAAAAAAAAGAAAAAGAATCCAAAAAATGCTAAAGAGCAACAGAGGAAAATCGACGGCGAGAAAACCTCTCATCGACATATCAAATGGCGGAAAACCCTCGAGGATTCTCAAGAAGAAGAGTCCTGTCGATGGATTTGATGGTGGTGCTCTCGACCGTCTTCTCCTTGTTCGATCGGAACTCTCGAATATCTTCAGTGAGGTAAGGGCATCAGCAAACCTTGATTATGACCGTGAAAGATATCTCTTTTGATAAGGACAGTAAACCCTAGGTTGACCCTAACGTGGCGATGGATCTGGTCGGAATTAGTAGTCTTTTCCATTTTCTTGAATTTAGAGCTTTTTTTATAAATCAATTTGGATAAACGTTGGCTAGTGTTTGATAAGTGAAGAAAAACCCGAGATTGACTGTAAACCAAAAGTAGAAAAGTAAAGTTCATGCCCTACATTTATTGCCTTATAGAAAATTGAGTATTATCTAGTATATTATCGCGAAAAATATTTTGCAGTATTTTTTTTCGATGTTAATTGCCCCAAATTTTCGTGTGGACCGAATAGCATTTGGAGCTTATGTATGATGTTGGTGTGAAAACGGCGAAGAAATTATGAAAAACGTGAAGAAAAACCCAAAACAGATTCCACCACACCTTCCACCACACCCTGGTGTGGTGTCTGCCATGGGTGTGGCAGAATCTGCCCTGTCTGCCATGGGTGTGGTCTGCGCCACACCTTGGTGTGGCAGAATCTGCCCTGTCTGCCATAGGTGTGGTCTGCGCCACACCCTGATGTGGCAGACTCGTTTTTAGAATCCTCCTTTGTTTGGGAATCCTCCTTTGTTTGGGATTGTGTTTTATTATAAATAGGACCACGTTTTTTAGGGTTTCTTAAGGAGAGAAAAGGAGAGAATTAGCATTGTTTTGAGCACTTTGAGAGGGAGATATTGTGAGGGAGTTGAGAGCTTTGGTTAGGGTTATACTTGAGTGATTTTGTGAGTTGTAACCCGTTGTATTTCTCCTCCATATAGTGAAATCTCTCCATCCTCTCCCCGTGGACGTAGGCAATTGCCGAACCACGTAAATCCTTGTGTTTGGTTTGATTTGTGTCGTATTTTGGTGAATTGCACTCTTGATTTGGTTTGATTTTCTTCTCTCATCACTCACCGACTCGTTTGGTTGTCGAGCACGCTTCCGCACGGCGCGCAACAGTTGGAGGAGTCCCTAGAGGAGGAACACATTTAACAAGCCATAATATGAAATGATTTGTAACCGATAATAAATTAATTAGCAAGCAACAGTAGTTATGTATAGTTGAGAGGAATCTTGCCGGATCTTGTTTTCGCAATTTCTATCTTTGTGTTATTTAGATCCATAGGAGCTTCACAAGTGTCTTATGTTTTTCGCAATCTTTGCATGCTCTGTTGTATGGAAATTGTCACACTAATTCATTAGCTTGGTTTTTATTAGAGGATTTAAGTGTGTTAAAGGGATTAAGGAGCTAAAATCAATTTCTGCATATTCTGTGTAGGAACATCAGCTATAAATAGATGGTTTTCTCGGTTATAGATAAATGCAAAGATTGGTTTGGCATCAGTTCCAATTGCATTCAAGTTTCCTGAAATCTATTAAAGTTATAGTCGAATTTATCCGAAACAATAGGTCTGCACCTAAGCCTGCATAATTTTAATTAAGTTGATATTGTGAATTAGAAATATCGAAAAAAATTTAATTGTTCCCAGTTCTTGAGACTGCGTTTATGTGCGAAAGGGACAAACTTTGTTATGCAAAACTCGCAGTTTTCTGTTAGCTTCTTGTATTTTTGGCATTGCTCCATGGCTGACAGGAGATAAAGTGAATGGAAACGTATGCTTGTGATTTCTTAAGCTCCTTTTACAAAGAGTTTATGGCTATAATTTTTTGTTGATTTATTTTCCTGCAATATGTTTTGAGGACCCTAGCCTGGATAGTTTGGAGTATATTCCAAGCTGGTCGAAATATTTCAAGCATTCCGATTGTTATTGTGGTTTATTATAGTGACTTCTTAACCTCATTTTACAAAGAGTTTATGCTGTATCCAATTGCATGCTGCTACTGATTTTGGAGCTTTATTTTCCGTAAAATATGTTGGTGAGTTATTGATTTAGTTAGGCAAGTCTTGTTTATATTCCATGGTGAAAATTTTATACGTTTACTTCATATATCTAAAACTTTGCAAGAGTTCTCATGGTTTGATATAGTCACAATTGGTTTGTCACTCTTGTGCATATGCTATCAGTTGAATGTGTTTAAACACTTTGCTCTTTGAAAGTTAATAATCGTGTTTGCTGGTTGTGTCATCTTTGATGGGCAAGTATATCACTATATCTTTGTGAGGACCTGTTGTTATCTCTCTAGAGTGTTATGTATGGTTTCTTCTTCTTTCTTTATGCACCATACTTAAGTTTTTGCCTTATCTACAGATCGATGAACTGGTTGCTCGAGCCCTGGAAAATAAAAGGACAGATAGAAAAGCAATTCAAGATATCGAGTCCTTCAGTAAGGTTCTACGTGATATGCATTCATCTTTGAAGGTATGTACTTGCTGAAGGCTGTTATTTAACTTCAAGCTGTATTTTAATATGGTTTAGGTCTATACCTGAGTGGAAAAAGTGACCCTTTTGCAAAAAAAATCGGGTTATGTTTATTGTCTCATGGAAACCACAGGTCCACAAAAGGTAAAATCTTGCTAACATTGTTTATTTCCTGTGTTCCAGCCATGGGTTTCAAGACTCCGTCAAGCTTCTCCCAAACAAGAGCCATTACAGATTGAAAACCAGCTTGGTCAGCAGAGTATAGGAGCTAGATCAGTTTCCTGTGTTAATGGGGAAGAGAGTACTCCCCGAAACAGAAATGATGCTGAGCTAGACTTGATAGTGTCTCCTTCTCCCCTCGTCTCTTGGCGTGCTGATTCCTGTACATTGGACACTGGAAGACAGCTCTTTCTGCTGACACCCTTACCCAAATTAAAAGCCACATCATCTAAATGCCCTGTCACGTCCAAATCCATGGTGAGAATCCTTCATCACGAAAATCAACGAGGACAGCCTCTCACATCAACTCTTAGAGAAAGCGCTTCTGATAGTTTGTTTCAAGAACCTGAGGCCAAGATGCCACAAGATAACATGGTGAAGCCTTGCACTGCTGGCACAACGAATAGTGTCTTAGAGAGCAGTAAAGATTCACTGTTCCTTTTAACACCGTGCCTGAAGACCTTTCCACAAAAGAGCTCTGCTTTGAATGGTTTTGTCTCTGAGAACATTCCAGAACTACCAACTCAAGACGATGATTCTAAGGTCTCTGATGACCTTACGAATGATGAAGTCTTAGATGGTTTGACCTCCAAGTATCAAGAGCTCCTCGGTTTACAGCCTAATAACAATTTTACGAACAGAAGGAAGGACGGCAATCAAGCTTTAGAGTGGTTTCTTTCACCCCCAAAGACTTGTGTCCTTATGGAGGAGCCAAATGAAGAGAAGCAAGTGCCGACACCATGCCTCAACAACAGCATACTTTTGCTTGCAACTCCTTTATGGAAGGATGTAGAAACTACAATCCACAAAGGCAAGCGAGCTGGAGAAAACACCCTTAAGAAAGAGCTTTGGGCTCGGTTTGAGGAGGTTTCTAAAGATGGACTGCATTTTGATGCATCGGTCTTTCAAAACACAGAGAGAAAGGGGTTTTTGGACATGCTTGAAGAGGCTTGTGAAACTTCGGATTGTGGAGATGGGAAATAGCAGGAACTGGTAGTCAATACGATCTATCCAAATTGTAATTTTGTTGTACTCTGTATCTCCATGTTGTAGCTTATGAGCTCTATACTTAACTCGCAACTGCAGTGTTGAAGTATTGAGCAGTTCATACTGAATTTTGTGATGGCTTCTTCTTGATTGCTAATATTCGGAAGTTACTAACATGAAGAATGCCCACGGATATATCGATGGGGGAAAAAAGAAAAGTATTCTCTGAAAGAAGTGTAAGCTGTTGTGCATCTCAAATGGTGAATACGGAATACCAATGTTGTGCAGGCTTCTTCAGTGAAGCGAGCATTTTACTGTGACCTCTCTTGGTAACAAAGGATTGTTTGTTGCTTCAGGTCTTTATTCTGTGAATTTGATCAGCATGTAAGCATGATAAGGCCATGGCTTCCTTGTCCACAAGGAAACAAACCAAATAATTGACAAATAGTTGGTCAATTGTTTGTCTAACTATGTGGTTATATTCAATTCCGTAGTTCATTTAATAGCGTAAACGGATAGGTTTTTAGTATTTGGTTCATAGACGAATAAAATATAACGAAATGTATATTTGATTGATTTGGTTATTAAATATTCTTTTAACTTTTGATCTCTTATATTTTGCAATATCACATTCATGATGTTATGTTTTTTTACCCATTTATACTTTTACTATAAGTTCTACACTAATTTTGACGAACATAAAGAACTCTAAACAAATTTTGCATATCATACTCCCTTTAAAAGTATGAGTTCGGGGAAATCTTTCCGTGGTTAATATTACCCTCGACTATTTTGAATATTTCATTTAAATTTTAATCTATTATAATCATAATTATATCATATCCTAATCGCATGTGAACTACTTACATGTCAATAATTTAAAGATTAATATGCTAAAATATATGAAGTATTGCAAAAAAACCCAAAATTTTGTAAAAATTACACAAAACACCCTTAAAATTTAAAATTATACAAAACATCCAGACTTGTGAAAACTTAAAACTACAAACTTGAAACCATCAATATTTTTAAAACAATAGAAACACCATCAAAAGTTCAATAATAAAAAAGCACTTTGAAATTCTGAAATTTTAAAACTTGCGAACAACAAAGATGAATTCAAGAAATTACCATCAGGCACTAAAAAATTATAATATGTAAAAAATAACCTCAAAGTTATAAAAATTACAAAAAAATCCTTCAAAAAGTAAAAATCACATAAAACCCTAAAATTTAAACTTATAATCGATACATATCAAATCTTAAAATTATCAGCAGACCGCTAAAAATTTAAATTTTGCAACAAAAAATCCAAAATTTCAACAATTGCAAAAATACCCTCAAAATTCAAAGTTGCAAGAAATATTCTGACATTCAAAGCCTTACCACTAACGCATGAAACATGAAAATTATAAGCACCCAAATTAAAATTAAAATTTTTAAAAAATACTGTTAAAATTTTAAAATTTGCAAAACACACCCTTAAAAATTCAAAATCATGAAAGAGTGACTAAAATTTCAAAACTTAGCAAAAAATAGTTATTTTATATTCTTTCATTGAGATATATAAATTTAACTTTTAATTTAAGGTTTTACTATCCTTTTTCGTCATCTAAAAGTAGTCTAATTTATCGAAAAAGATAAATGTAGAGAAGGATTGATAATGTCTCAATAAAAAATAAAACAGAAGGAATAAAAGACATTATTTTCTGAATATTTTATAGAATAGTTTTTTTGAGTAAATTAGGAATCTTTAGAAGATATTTTCATAAACTTTTTTTTAAATATTTTTATGTGCTTATGTGGATGCTTTCATTATATAAAAGTGTACTAGAGTTAGCATTAATTATTAGTTTATGATTTTTTAAAAAGTTTATCAAAGATTAGGAACAAACTTCATATTATCTTTTGTGTCATTTTAGCCCACTTTTAGCCAATCATATTGTCTGATTAGCTTTAATTATTTATTTTCATTTTAAAACACTATTTTTTGAAGTGTTTTTTACTTTTACAATGCTATACTTTCTCAGGTCAAGTTTGGTTTCATGTCGGTGTCAATGACATAATAATTCAAATTGATTTCGGATTATATTTACTTCTTGTCAATTCAATTATCAATATAAAAATTTAAATTGGGCGTATTTTATTTAAACGAACATTAAAGTAAATAAATAATCATAATGCTAAAGTTTAGAGATATAAATAAGCAAAAAACATCAAAGTGGAACCGAGGAATAATTTTTAATAAGGATGTAAACCAAATATACTTAATTATGACATTTAACCACGTGCATTGCACGTGCATAAAACCTAGTATGAAAGAAAATAGTGACAGTTGAATCAATCCCTCAAATTTCACAGCATCTTTCAAATTCATCTCTCTATTAGTTTTTCAATAAAATTTCAACTACGGTTATGTTAACTCCTTTCCCAACCCCTAAAATTACCAATTGCCCTCCTCATAATGAAAGATGTAAACATCCCTCTATCTAATGTTCCAAACATTAGAGGGGACGATGATAGGTAGGTTAGAAGAAAATTTTAGGAGGATTACATAGATTTCAGACTATAATGACCATTGAAAATCATCTTTAGTTAGGATTTTCTAACTGTGGACTAGAAAGATTCAAGTGGGTTTTGGCTTTTAAAAGTCCACCTATGGGTTTAGGGACTTAATGGAGAGGGCAAAATAAGAGATTTGAGAAAATATTCCCCTCAAAATTGACTGAGCTAACCAGAAGACTATTTTACAAGACCCTAAAACCATGCTTGTTTTTTATCCCCCGCCTAGGGGGTATTATAATCTCTTGACTATAATCCTCGGACCGTGTTATCATAGGGCTATTTTAGTCTAGTCTAATATTTGTTTTTTACACGGACTAACATTTGAACTAACTTAAATTAGTTTGGATTTGTGTTTTCTTTTAAGGGGAATATGACTATTCGTACTAATATCACATCCAAAATTATTTTTTGCGCTCCAATCAACTTATATTGTACTAGTGAATATGTTTAGCAAAATAATTTAGAATTTGTGCATGATATTGTCTAGAAAATAGACATACTACCATCTATCTATTGTTAGGTCTCATGTTTATGAGCCTATTATCTAATCTTGTTTTGATGATTAACAAACAATTCTTAATCTTGTTTTCTAGTATTTATGTTTTCTTCCAACATGCATCCATGTCGAAGGTTGGAAGGATTTGTGTCTTAACGTCGATATCTTGCAGGTTGGTGGAAATTGGAATGAAGCTTTGCGCATTCAGGTCAAGACTCACTATCGTGCTTCATCCGCTACCATGATCGAGCTAAATGAAAATTATTTGCTTGGGTATATTGTTTATAGTTTAGGTGTTTACTTTATGTGTTATGCTTAAAGCTCAAACCACACACATGCATGCTTTGTTTTATCACTTTCAAGTTTAGTCATATAAATATGAAACTAATAGATATATTTATATACATACACACTAGTTTCTAATTTATTGTCTTCTTGGGAAAATAACGTGTTTCGGATTATAGACTTAATGGTACTGTTTTACATCTTTTCAAAAGTCTATGAATACATTTGAAAGTATCTCAAAACTTGTTTGAAGAAATTTCATCAAAATCAAGTATTTAACAAACTTGTATTTGTGACTGTTTTGTAAAACAGTGAGTTTTCACAAATGCGAAGTGTTATTTTAGAAATTTCTTCTCTAACATGTTCTTTTTTATATATATAAACGCTTTCCCAGGTTTTACTAGTTTTGGAGTTGATATACTATTTTAAACCGAATTTAGAAAATCAAGTTTTTAGTGAATTTGAGTATCTAAAATATCAGTTTTTGGTCGACCGATTAAAATGTTCAGTCAACTGATTAGAACAAGTTTTTACAGCATTTGATTTTACAATCTTATCAGTCGACCGATTACTTGAATCAGTCGACCGAGCATAGTTTTTTCAGTCGACTGATTTTTCTTTTCAGTCGACCGAGTCGTGGCTGTCTGATGCGGCATAATTATGTACCAAAATTGCAAGTGCACAATTATCAAGTTATAGTATAAAAAGATATCGATCCCACGAAGAAGGTGATTTTAAGAGATTATTAAACTTGGTTCTTATATTTTTGTGCGTGACAATTAGGAATAAAGAATAAGTGTGAATGTGATGAGTGATTGTTGTGAATATTTACAAAAGATAATAAATTAAATTTTAGAGGAGAGAATGAAGAATTAAAGAATAAATGAAATCACAAGGTTAAGAAAGATGAATGAATAAAACCAAGAATGAAAAGAAAATTTAAGAAAGTCAAGATGGAGGATTCAAAATAAGTAAGAAATCTAGAATATAATCCACTAACCAATTTTAATTACAAAATATAAACTATTCTCTTTTTATCATATTTCAACTTAGATTTATTAAGCATAGATTATCAAACCATTTAAAGAAAGTGTAACCTATCAAATTATCATCTAAGTCAAAATTACTATTCATGATAAGAACAACAACATGATAATAATCCTAGAATTCATAAGCATAACCTATCAAACCATTTAAGGAAAGCATAGATTATCAAATTCTTCTTCTACCGATTAGTTCTCTAGTTGATTATCCTAAACATGAACATTTTAAGTGCAAGAGAATAATTCATATAATATAAAAGAAATTAGACTAGTTTCATACAATTCTAAGATTCCTACAAGAATTAAATTCACATCTTAAGAAATAAAAACAAGAAAAAGAAGACTAATTACAAAATTAAAAAGAAAAGAAAAATCTAAACTATGAACAAGAAATAAATCTAATTACAAAGAAAATAAAAATCTAAACTACAAAAAAATCTACACTACAAAATATATTACAAAAATTAAATACAAGAAAATAAATCTATTCTACAAATTAAAGTGCAAAAAGAAATAAAAAGACAAGAAAATAAATCTACACTACAAGCATGAATTTAAATCTAACTAATAAGCAATAATAAAGAAATTACTAAAAAGAAATAAAAGAGAAAAGAAATGCAAACCTTCAAATTGCTCTTCATCTCCATCCTCATCATTCAACAAAGAGGAGAAAGAACAAATTTAAAGAGGAAAAAATTATTTTTATTAATTGCAACTAAAGTTACAATTTTTGGAAGGC